AATTTTTTTTTTTCCCGGGAATCAGTAAGATGAAAATACGAAGATGTTTTCTATAGGTTATCGGTCCGTTCTCACACTACTCGTATAACCATGAAGAGGAACCAAAAGTAGGCTGAAACATCGGAACAAATTAAAATCTTAATTCATAGATTTATTTTTATGTAGTCCATAATATCCTAAATATAACCAAAGAACAACGATTTCTAGATGTTTGGTAGTATTTAAAAAAATATGGATAATAATAATAAAAGGCTTAGCGAACCCAAAAGTTCAATGCTGAAACCACTAATCGCTTATTACAAAACTCTCTCCATCGTTCGCCGTCCAAACCCAGTCTCTTCAGATCAGCTTTAATGCAATCTTCTCACTTTCCTTTCGGTCTATCCCTCGAACGTTTACCATTCGGTACAGCAAATATTAACCTTTTAGGAATTCTTTCGTTACTAAGCCCAACAATTTTACAATCCCTTTAGACTCGCCGCGATGTAAGCACCTCAATTATATTAACCGGATAAAGTTCATGCAATTCTGCGTTGGATATAAAATATGGATAAGCAAGAAAATAGTAATATAAAAAGTATTTTTGAAAACTAAATGTATAGTAATTTTTTGTTTTAAAAACTTGGTCTAAAAGTATTATAATAATGAAATTAAACAAAACAAAAAATAATGAAGGGATTATCCTATGAAGTTAAAGAGCTGTATTCTCCCAGGGAAGATGCTGTATATTCCATAGGCGGATTCACGCAATAGTGCTTTCAGGCTAAAGAACCGTAAAAAAAAAAAAAAAAAAAAATAGAAAAATATATATATTTTTTTCATAGATCCATAATAATTTCTGTGGGAGATTTAAGCTAAATGCCCAAAACAATCTTAATATGTACATCATTTTACATTGTTTCTTCTTCTTCAACATGAATTACGGTTGAGTAATAAACTTACCCATCATTCCCCCTCCTACAATTTTTTTTTTTTTTTTATTCATTGATATTTACAACTGTATTATAAAAAAATACAATTAGTAACTGTGCATCACACAGTAACAATACAATCACATGAAAACACTTGTTGAGAAACTACCCATTGGTAGCACTCTAATAATATATTTACATAAGTAGATCACGAGGACATCTTCTTTTCAGACTCCTCGGAGGGTTATCAGGGATCGAGGAGGAAGCAAGGTTTGAAACAAGTTCGGATGGTTCTGGAGTTTGTTATGGAAGGATAGGTATATGGATTGGGCCAAATCGGAAACATATGGAACATTAAGGTCTTTATGGATGATTTTATTTTTGACAAAGCAAGGAGCGTTGAGGATTTTACAAAGGATTTTAGATTGTAAGAATCGGATACGAGAGGAATTCGATGATTTAGACAAAAAAATTAAATCCTGAATCCGCTTATGTTAAATTTTCTGATACAGAAGGCACATAAATTAAGCTTAAACCAACTGTATCGACCATAACAAATCGTCATTAAATTTCTATACCGAGACGCTATTGTTTTACGAAAATGAGTTAATAGATTGTTAAAAACAAAATGACCAAACAAAACAATATAGATTTTTAACAAATACTTTTTTTTCTGTAACATTAAATTAATATTCAAAACATAACCCATTGCGGTGACATAACACATATCTCATCTTTTGGCCAGTTGCTTGATTTCATGGAGTATATCTTACCACTCTTTTTGATGGCTATCGATTAATTACTGAACTGCTTTTTCGACTTCGTGAAGTATATTTTTTTTCCTCCTTTCAAGAAGTGATCCATGGATCGAAACAAATAAATATCTGATCGAGCAATGTCCGCTCTATATGGCAGGTGAGGAAGACTTTCGATATCATCAAGATTTTTACATTTTTATTTGGTCTATCGCGAAATATGCGACCGAAGATAGTCTTGCTGGAACAGAAATCCTTTACGATTGACCAATCGATGGCTACACACAGAGTCTTTTGAAACTCTACACTCCATGGCAAGGTCACGAGTACTTCTGGATGGATTTGATCCCATACCTAGCTAAAGAACCTCATTAATCTCCAGTGGTGGTCGCTCTGAGCCATTCTTCCTTTCCAAGGATGTATCTGGAAAATATTCACAGGAAAATTGTTGAAATCAGTCAGCTTTTTTCTTTTTGTCAGCTTTAATTTTACATATTAGATTACTATAGATATAACGCATAGTTTCACTGATATAAGTGAAAAACAGAAAAAAAAAGGAAACTTTTGAATCGTAAGTTCACTTTTTCGACTTGAAATCCATGTGTATGGGGTAACTGACTACTATTTCATGTCTTAAGACTGTAAATTCTATAAATTGAAAGGATTGATAGCTATCTATATCTATAAGCTCTCTTTATATATATATGTTTACTACCTATACAGTGTCTCTATCTTCAGCTGGCCTCCATTTTGTATTCCAGTGGCTATATGCTTGGCAGAAGTGCATTTTTCTCATCAGCCTTGTGGATAAGGTCAATTAATAAGATAAACCTTAGTATGAAATATGACATATTTTTTGCCATGGGCTCCAGAGCTATTAAAATAACAACAGTTTCTTAAGACACTGTCATGTAGCTTTTTCAATAAAAAAAGTTTGAACTAACACTTCTTCGAGCAAGTCCATTGTTAGTAATTAAGCTAAGATTAATGTTCTAAAGAGATCATATATTGTAAATAATAAATAGGATTTACGTGTTTATAGTTCTTGGGATTCAGTAGTATTTGATTAAATGGTCATTTTTATTTATACAGCCTTTTGAGTGCCTAACTGGATTAATTTCTACATGCAGGATCGAATAGTAACCATGAAATTTACAAAATGATAATTCTTTCAATTCAAAAGTGTCTATCTTCTTAATTGTAAACTGATTTAATCTTTCTGACATTGTAGATGTAACATATTTAAATTAGGACTATTTTCAAAGAAAAACAAGCCAAGGGATTAATCTATTGTATTGAAGTTTTTTATCTTGTGAATAATACAACCTTATTGTTCATATTTCATTAATTTTTTTTACAATTCAGTTTTAATCTGTTTTGTTAAAGTCAAGAGTTGATGTAGAAACTCAAGAAAGCTGAGTGTATCAATGAAAATTGTTATAATATAGGAAACCTCTTTTTTTTCAGTAATTTAATTTAATATTCAATATTACATAATTTTTCTTTTCAATTTAATGTACCTTTTGTTACAAAAACAATATCATATTTTTGAATGACATAAAATTATAATTAAGGTATATGAATAAAGGTAAGTAGCAGTTTACTCCCCTCCCCCCCAAAAAAAAAATTCTTTATTTTTATGATGTTTTGAGATCCACTTTATTAACCCATCTCCATGCCATTTCTCATCTTTCTATCATCTAATTTTTAAAAAAAGACTTGTATTAATTTTTATTATTGTGAATTATCCCTTAGTTATATTGTGGACTCCTATAGGGAGAGCCTGGTTAGCCACTAAAGAGACCCAATGTCTGATTAGACTCTCCATCTCGAAACGTCATAAAAATAAAGAAATATTTTTTGGGAGAGTAAATTATTACTTACTTTTATTTATATAACTTATATAAATAAACATCTCCCTTAGGACTGATGATCAAAAGTATGATTTTGCATAAAGGAGGACTTTCAATCAAGGAAATTCAAAAAGAAGTTGAAGGTTCTATTATTGTTATTCATTACATCATCAAAAAATTGTTAAAATCAAGCAAACCGGAGACTTGAAGCATTCGGGCAGTCCTAAAAAAATATAGTCCTGTTGATGAACAACATTCAAAACCATTGTTTGCACAACTGTTAAAAATTTAGCAAAGAACTGGCACAGGAAGCAGAATAGCCACAAAGAATAGCCAATGCTACTGGGATCCAAGTTTCATCATCCTTGATCAGAAGGTCTTAAAATTGTTGTTGCGAGAAGAAAATATTTTTTCAACCTCTAAACAAGCAAAACTGACTTAAGTTTGCCAAAAAAACATAAAAATTGGATGAAAGAAGAATATAACATATTTTTAAGTAAAAAATTAAGATTTTTGGTTCCAGAAGAAGGTGGTATGTTACAAAAGATTTGGGGTGGAATTTTCGGGTGAGGGTTTACATCCAATATTAAAACGGGGTAGTGTCTTCTTAATGGTTTAGGGGTGTATTTCTAGACCTAGAATTGGAGACCTCTTGTGAATAGATGGAAAACTAGATGCAAAATGGTACCATAACATCCTTAGATATCAGGCAATACTATCTGGACTTTAGTTGATTGGGCAGAACTTTATTTTTCAGAAAGAAAACAATAAAAAATATGATATATTGCCATATACTGAAATAAAAGTAACTTTAAACAGAAGATAAAAAAAAATATGAAATATGGGTTATTGCATTAAATTAATGCAAAAAAACAAACAAATAATTCCAATCTTAGAACAATTTTCACAGATACACTCAACTTTCTATGGTTTATACAATGGCTCTTGACGTTAAAAAAAAAAGAGTAATGACTGAAGTGGATAACAAAGTAGTGAAATTTAAACAATAAGATAGCATTATTCAGAAACATCTACAATCAATGCCGTCCTTAGACATATGGCGTCCGCGGGCAATTATGTCATTTCTTTCTCCATAAAAAAAGAATTGAATTTATTTCTCAAACTGTTATTTTATGTAATAATCGTATTTAATTTCATTCAATATTTCTCTGATACAGTTGCTTAGTCAATAGGCTGAAATTAATTATTTTGAAATGTTTTGTATTTATTTTTTTTAAATTCTTAAGAAGTGGCGAGTACCTCTGATGTTGACACCCTCAAAGGGCGCCCCTTTAGGTCGGTGCCGCGGGGAGATTGCCCCACCCTAAGGACGGCACTGTCTACAAGATTAAATTAGTTTACAATTAAGAAGATAAAACCACTTTTATATTGATACATTTATCATTTTTATAAAAATTTGGTTTGTTCAGACTTTTTCACACCTCTATATACAGAATTTTTTTAACGGAACTTCTAGGATAAAGGTAGTGAAAGGAAAACGAAATTCATTATATTTTTTATAAATGTATAACCAAGCTTTTTAGATTAAATCAATCCAAAAACGTTTACATTGAAAGTCTTACAATGCATTCTCAAACATATCAGATCTGGTAATTTCTTTACTACATTACACCATTTCATACCCTTGATATTCATAGATCATTCAAATTCACCTAACGAGAATTTACAAATACAAGAAAAGTTTTCTCCTCCTAACTCTCTTGACAACCAATGATCTTTGATAACTGCGACTCGTAAGGAATCGCATTTAAATCGAGCATAAAGGTTTGTATGTACAGCCCTGCCCATACCTTCTATGATGAGCAAGTCCATATCTTTCATCTTTTCAACAACTTCAATATTGATGAAGCTAAAAATGATAAAAACAATTTAGTATCCAATAAAGGAAAACTTTATTATTTAGTAAATTTGATTGTCACTATTATAAAATAAAATGTATTACTGATATACATATAAATAACATTAATGACAAAAGACCAATCATTATTGTATTATGTTATTAAAATGTAAATAAGCTTTTTTTTTTTTTTATCAGCAAACGGTTAACTTATTGATTCATATTTATTTCATTTCTCTTCATGATTCCCATATTTTTAGCGCAATATTAATGGTAGACTATCTTCTGAATCTTGTGAATATTGCAAGTATCAATTTAAATTTGAAAAAAAGTTTCTACAGTGGGACCTTGAAGATGGTGATAAATTTAAAGAAAATAATTAATGAGAAACAAAGAAAGAAGATATATAAATTGTACTTTCAGCTCAATTAAAAAAAAAAAAAGGAATTTCTGCTAACGTTATTCTCCTCAACCAAAATATTTTCCAATTCCTTTTGACATTATTCTCAATCTTTTCTAATACTGTGTCCAGCCATATTTAAACATTGTTATTGTTTTAAAATCATGTTCTATGATCGTTAATAAGTTTCTATATTTTTTTAAGTTAAAACTTTTTTAGGGAGTGGGATAGCTCAGTGGAAGGGCACAGACCTTCCAATGGTCAAAGTCCTGGGTTTGAATTCCGGTTCATGGCATAAAAATGATTTATTCTGTTTCATCAGTCGTGAGGCGACCCTGGCATCAGGAGACCCTCCTGGGGCACACCTAGCCTCTATAATGTGGGTATACTTAATTAATAATTAATTAAGGAGAGAAACCTGGCAGTTGAGTGTGATCTCACTCAAATCAACTCTTTGTACAACTTTGTTGACTAAGAAACAGTACTTTCGCTAAATAGCACTGAACCCAAGACCCTTCATGGGTTATATTGGTACAGAAAAATTTCTTTAGGCGTGTTTTGCACTTTTTTTAAGGAGAGCGAATTAGATTGATTCTTCAGATTTCCAATGTGAAACGCTCAGATAAATTTGGCTGTGAAGTCGACTAATTGAAGTGTTTCTGTGTATGGATCAAAATATCTCAAAAACTAAAAATCAGACTTGCATACTGGGAACAATGAAATTGTTCTGGATTTCATCCTATCTATAATGGGCTGTTATTCAAAACTGTATCTTAAAGCGAGGCGAAGAGGGAAAAAATAGTGTCGAAAACCAAACGATAACGAGTTTTATGGAAGATATGCATTAAATACTGAGCTACCTCACTCCCTAAAAAAATTTTAACTTCAAAAAATATAGAAACTTATTGAGGATCATGTAACGTGATTTTAAAACATTAAAAATGTTTAAATATGGCTGGACGAGGTATCAGAAAAGATTGAAAATAATTTCAAAAGGAATTGGAAAATATTTTGGTTGAGGAGAATAACATAAGTGGAAATTCCTATTTTTTTTTTTTTTTTTAAATGAGCTGAAAGTATAATTTATATATCTTCTTTCTTTGTTCCTCATTAATTATTTTCTTTAAATTTGTCACCACCTTCAGGATCCAACTGTGGATTTTTTTTTTTCAAATCTAAATTCTTACTTGCAATATTCACAAGATTCAGAAGATAGTCTGCCATTAATATCTCAGAAATTAAAAATCTGACCTGCATACTGTAAGCAAGGGAAATGTTCAGCATTTCATTCTCTTTATAATGAGGTATTATTTATAATCTAATTTATATTTCATATTATCAATCTCGCCTTGTTGATCGTTTCACTTTTATCATGTGGTCTAAAGCACACACCTTAATTTTTTTATTTAAATAGTATAACAGCGTATTAAAGATAAAGTAGTCAGCAAAGTTATAATCACAATATACCTCTTTTCAATGACCCTAAACATAAATTATTCTACACAATTAATTATATATATTGAATTTAAATTTAAAATATATATATATATATATATATATATATATATATATATATATATATATATATATATATATGAGTCATTGCTGTAAAGTAACTCCAGATTTATGTTTGTCATTATTAAATACAAAAGTTCAAATTGATTAAATTCAAACAAAGTTAGTTCATTGATATGTAACCAATGATTATATAGATTAACTATAGAATTTATAGATACAGTTGTTCTACCTACACTGTCTGTCAAAAGTTTTATACCACAAGAAATATTTCAACAAAAAACAATAATAAAATAGAAATGTTGAAATTATAACTTTGTAAATGTTGCCCAGTATAGAAACAAAATAATAATACATTTAAGACTATTAATACAAACATATTTTTAATGTTCTTAGAGGTTTTTGAACTTTTGAGGAGTACTTATTATAAATCCTACTGAGAACATACCATAGATCTAAACAGCAAGTACTTTTTGCCAACTTCATCATACTCAATGTCCCTTCTTCAATGGCTTTCCTCAAAATCGGACAATGGTTCTTAATTTCTTCAAAAACATCCTTCAACTCATAAAATGTGATATCATTTAGAACTGGTTCACAATTAGCGCAAATCACAACCTGGAATCAAATAACAAATATTAATAGCTACAGATCAACAACATATCAACAAAGCAATATTTTTTACTCTCGGTACCTCTGCTCCTCGTCTAACGAGTTCTCTTGCAAATGGTAAAACGCCTAGTATCAAATCATAACCGCTGTTATCAGCGAATATCATTACTTTTTTATAATTGTATTCCTTCAATCTGTTTGTCCAATTATCTAGATTATCTACAAGCCATGGCCTTTCTGAAATGTAAAATTTCCATATATTAAAAATATTTAAACAAGATTTTTAAAACTTATAATTACATGGGTGAAGAAACAAAGGAAAGGAAATTTTATTCTATGGCATTTAGCCCCCTAAGAATAATTATAATAAACAATGAAATGACATTTGTCTGGTATTATAAGACAACTGAGAATTAATTAAATTAAATAGTTTTCAAACCCCAAAATTAAAATTAAATAAAAGAACAAGTAGACATACAAAATTAGAGATAAATCTATATGTGTGTGTTCACATATTTGTACTATAATATGTATCAACAATGTATATAATATGTATCTGTAAGATAACAGCACAGGCAGATTTACAGGGGCTGACGGGCTAAAGTACCCCCAAAATGGTAAAATATAACCAAGTTTTAAGAAAAAAAATATCTCTAAAAGTATTATTGTTCATCTAATTACATTTAATGTGACTTCAAGAATCACTTAAACACCATTTCATATAGGTAGTTAGTTTCTTTCTTTCTTCTGAAGTAATTATCCTAATATATACATACAAAAAAAATCTTTCAGGCTGCAGCCCCCCCCCAAATTAATTACTGGATCCATTAGTGGATAACAGTAAAATGAAGCTGACAGCTCTAAAATATTAAAATATTATTCTTATATATATATTAACAAGATTGATTACTGAGGAGATGAATAAATAAACAGTGTTTAAATGAGGTCAAGGATTTGTGAATGGAGGTAGGTAGGGAATTCTAAAACAAAGGTAGCACATATGACAGTACTAAAAGAAGGAATAAACAGGTTTGAGGGCTGAGATCTCGTGTTGAACAAATGGACAGAGGAGCAAGGAGTAAACAAATCAAGAAGGTAAGAAGGTTTTTTTGTTCTAAAGGTTCGGAAAAGGAATACACCTAGGAAATATTGATATCGTAGAAATAATGCTGTCGTAGCCACTTCAACTCGGCATACCTACTGAAGATGTGGGTTTCTAAAAATGTATCCAATGAAACAATTCATTAATCTGTTCAATCTGATCTCAAGCCCACAAGACAGTCCACCGTATATAAGGTAGCCGTAATCAAAGTGAGGAAAAATGAGAGAGGAAACTAGGAGCTAGCAGGTTTTAATGGGCATAGAATCATGGATTGATGGGCATAAAACATAACACTGCTATTTAAGGTAGCAATATACTGATTAATTTTTTAACAGATGCAGATAGAGTGATTTATCCATAAAAATACAATGCATATGACATCAATTTTTCCCATCCCATATCATAACCAGAAAAAAAAATCTGTACCACTACAGCCCCATGAAGGGTCTTGGATTCAGTACTATTTAGGGAAAGCACTGTTTCTATGTCAATGGTTGTGCGAGGAGGTGATGTGAATGAGATCATGTTCAACCGCCAGGTTTTCCCCTTAATTAATTATTTAATTAAGGGTACCCACTTTATAGAGGCTGGATGTGACGCAGGAGGGTCTCCCGACCTAGGGTCACACCACGGCAAATGAACCAGATAAATAAATTTTCTGGCATGAGCCACGATTCGAACCTGGGACCTTATATTATTATTTACTGAGCATTGGAAGCTCAGTAAATAATAACCAGATATCATAAACAAACATGGTATAATTTCAAAGAGCCTAATGTTAATGTTCAGCTACATTATTTTATGTAAATTGAATGGTAAAAAAGCAAAGAATACGACGAGTATGATTCAGATGATAGAAACATTCTAAAAGAGTAAAGTAGTAACATACGACAAATAAATTTATTACATAAAAAAAAACAGTAAACAAAATTGAGAGGAAAGGAAAATAATTTATTTATATTTTTACTTGTTATTATTAGAGATACTAAACAATGCAATATATAACCATCAAAATTGTGAATATTATTTATGTACAAAATATTTTCGAACAATAATGTTATTTTTTTACAATGACACTAATAAAACTTTATCATTAAATTTTTGGTCGATAAAATATTAATATTAAAAAGCAAATACCAAGTTCCAAGCTGAATAAACTAGGTTCAAATCCTGAATTTACTATCAACTTTCTTTTACTTAAAACTAGTGGAAATGTTCAACTGAATATTTAGACATAATTATAAAGTTAAGACAGGTACATGGAACATAGAGCTGAACTCAAAATTTCTTCAAAATATCATCAAGTCAAGAATCAGGTACATGTAATAAATGATTCTATTGTGAGAATAATTTATTCATTATTACTGTTTTTGAACAGATAACTGAAATTTGCCTCCTCACTTCTAAATATTACATAAGTATAAAATTAATGTAAATAGACCTTGAAATTATATAATAAAAAAAAATCAAAGTCTACCAAGATGTCTTCTTGAATCATACTCGATGACTCAATGGTTACATCAGCATTGTTAAATCAGACAATATTTACACAGTTCATTGGTTATTTAAATACAAATAGATGATTTTTTTTTAATGTATGATAAAATGATCTGCAGCCTACCAAATCACCTCATAATAACCACTAGTGTACAGAATGCTTAAGGTTTTTCTAAATTAATATATAGGATGGATGAGAAAATAAAAATAACTTGATAAATAAATCCCTATTTTTTGAGTATTTTCATGTTAAAAATATTTTTATATATAATTAATAAATAAATATTAAAAATACATAAATACCTGGAAGCTTATCTATGGCTTGTTGGAAGTTTAATTTCCCAGCTATCATCAATTTAGCTACTTCTGTAGCTCCCCAGTCGAACATATTACCGGCTAGCAAATATTTAACTAATTCCGTTTGTTGTTCAACATAATCCAACGAATCTAAGCAGTTCAACCGATCAACAAGTTCCTTAATGGCTGTTGCATTCTCGTGTTGTTTTCTCTGTAAAATCCACAATGAACTACTTAAAACAAAAAATTGTATCAGAAATATACCACCACATACAACACTTGTAAACACAGCTTTTTTCTATCTTTCAAAGATAATGAAAACTCTAAAAATATCCAAGGGTGTAAAATGTTTTAACAATGTTATAATAAAACTAATTCGGATATATGACTACGAGACCGGTATACTAAGCAACCTCTGAAAAAGAAGAATTCAACGATTTGACAAAATAGTTCTCTGCATGATAACCAGAATAATCTAGAATCAGAGTACTATCGCGACAGAATCAGAGTACTATCTACTAAGAGGAGTACTATCTACTAGAATCTACTATCTACTATCTACTAGGAGTACTATCTACTAGAGGAGTACTATCTTGTAGAATCAGAGTACTATCTACTAAGAGGAGAAGAACTAATAAAGAACACCTTACAGAAACTGATCATTCTATATATTATTTATTTTAGAAATCACAATGTTACTTATGAATGTTAGAAGAAATACATAGCAATGGTGAGTTGCCAATTCATCATATCAGATTAATTATCAAATTTGATTAATTCCGTATCTTCCTATAAATCTTATCTGCATTAAATGAAATTATAGTACCAAATTATTATTAAACATGGTATGAAAACATGTAAGGAGTAGTTTATTATTTAAAAAAAATATAAATATAAAATGTTATGTTAGATATCACATAAATTGTTTTTTGTTTGTCCTGTAAACTTATTTCATTTCCAAATATGAAACATTGGAAGTTCTCCATCGATTTACTGCTTTAAAAAAGAAAAAAATATATACATATATAAAGTGTTGAAAGATTTGAGAGAAAAATCCTCCGCACGATAACCGGAGTGACCTGGGATCAGAGTACTAACACGTGGAGAAGAAATACCAATAAATAACTGCTTACGGAAACTGGTAAATCAATATCCCACAATATGAAAGCACGGAGGTTAAGATGGGCAGGGCATGTAGCTCGTAGCAATCCATCTGGAAGCCTCTACGTAACAATGAATGCCTCAATAGAAGACAAAAGACCACGTGGAAGGCCAAAAAGCAGATGGATAGATAGAATCAACAAAGATGCAACAGAGCTGCGTGCAGATAAATGGAAAGAAATAGCCTAAGACAGGCAGAGATGGAGCAGGCTTGTTAAGGCGGCAAAAGATCTACATGGTCTGTAATGCCAACAGGAAAAAAAAAAAAAAAAAAAAAAAAAAAAAAATATATATATATATATATATATATATATATATATATATATTAAAAAAAAAAATCAATTTTCCAAAATAAAACTTCTGTTTTGCTTTTACCTTTTCATACATTGTAAGTAACCCCATTTCCTTTTTTATATGTTCTAATGTATCTTGTAAAAGTCTCATAGCAAGATAACCGTACGCACTGAAAAAGAAATATTTAAATTTAATTTATATTATATTATAGTATCTTAAAACAATGTTGATATTATTTGTGAATAAAATAAGCTCATTTTTGTTTATAATAAATACAAAAACATATTTTATTATTTTTAAGTATCAGGGTTTAATTTTCCAAAGCTTTTTCATTGCATTCAAGTCTAATAACTATTTACTGATGCTTTAATAATAAAACAAATATATTGCTGCTAATAATTCTCACCTGGCAAATATAAAAATTATTTTATAAGTGTGTTTTCACAGTGTATCTTATTTCAGTTCAGTGATTATCACAAATAAATAAATAGAACAAATAATCAAAATTCAAACTGGGTTCCTTGAGGTCCACTATATATGAGGCTAACTTAAATTTAATATGAAAAATTCTATTTTTAATCAACAAAAAAAAAAAAATATCTTACTCATGATTTTTCCTTAAGTACTCTAGCCTTTTCACAACTCTGTCTCTATACATCTCTAAATTTTTTGTTGATTCTTTTTTTGCAATGCCAATCGTTCTGGTAGTACCCGCGTTAAATGCATCTGATATACAACTAAGCCAGTATTCCCTGAAATAAGTCATCTCTATTATAATAATAATTTAAAAAATGATTTCTGTTGTATTAAATACTAAACAATAAACTTCGAAGTAACATCCGAAGTTGTTCATTTCTAGGAGTTCAGATAGCTGTAGTGTTAAGAACTTCTTTATCACTGACATACAAATCGTAATATAAATTTTGTTATCAAAAATACAATAAACAAACATATGGGCTGGTTATAACAAACTTAATGAATTAATCCATTTCTTTAAAAATTTTTTTTCAGTAATTCCTCACTGAGACTCTTTTTATCTTTGATTAAAAATATATGTTTAAGAAAGCCATCATAAGCAGATTAAAAAAATTGAACAGTGGTATTATAATATTATTTAAAATCAATTCATTTGTAACTTTTCTTAGGAAATGTCGTTGATAATAAATATATTTTTATTAACCTATTATTATAAACCTAAATTTATTTGATATTTAAAAACAACATTGATTATGATTTAAATTAAGATTTACAAGTTTTAAGATTTCAAAATATATGTTTTGAAGATATTTCAATTTAAGCCATTATTATGCTAAAATTCAGTTTATTTATTTAATACCCAGTAAGGCAATACAGGTGTTAGTCTTAGTGGGTAGCCACCCATGCATGCATTACGACTCACTAACACTAGCAAATCAAGTTCTAGCTGGGTATAAATTTCAGTTTTCTTTAGTTCAATTTATTTTTCTCTTCACTCTATCCTTCATCCTTTCTCATTGAACTCTCCCCCCCAAACTAAAATCCACTAAATCCGACATAGAATGTTAGATTTCTGATGACACTAGAATTTAAAAAATAGTATGATAATAATACTTCTGGCCGGTCCAGTCCAGGAATTCTACGAATACTTGAAATAGGAACATTTCTGACTGATAACGGGAAATCAGTTAACTACATATGGGTACCTGGACATGCTGGTAAAAATGGCAATGAAATGCCAGATAAAGCAGCAAAAGAAGCACACTCACTCTTAGGTCGTGGTGGGACCCTGCCATCAGATCTTTCATGACCTTTTAAAGAGAGTACCCAAAAGGAATGGCAGGACGTATGGAATAAGAGTGCTCCAAGAAAACTGAAACTAAGCGAGAAAAATGACAGACCTTGGAGTTCTTCTAGTCGTAACATTGGAGAAAGGAAGTCGTCCTTGCCTGGCTTACGATCGGACATTCAAGATTGACCCACCTTCACCTCATCACTAAAGCTGCACCACCTAGATGCCAGTATTGCAATAGTGTCCTGTCTATAACTCAAATTTTCCGAGATTGTGCATTTTATAGTCATAAATTAAATGATTTAGAAATAACACAAAATATATCACTAGCCTTAGGAAATGACAGCATTAGAACTGACAAAATAATAACATTTCTAACAAGGATAAATTTAATGAAAGAGCTATAATAATAATTTCTATATATATTACCTTTCTCCCTCCCCCCTTATTTTATTTATTTATTTTTAATTATTATCACTCTTTTATTTATTTGTCATCTATTATTTTTTCTTATTTATTACTTTTTTTCCCGTCTTGAAACCTACTATCTTAATAATTTATGGATGAAGCACCGATGACCTAGATGTTTTGCGCCTATAACATCAAAACAACCAGCCAGCAATACTTTTGAAACTTCCTCATATAACCCACTTATCCCAATAGTTGTCCAGAAAAAAACATTCCATTTTATCAGAAATTATCACATTTTAATTTTTTTGGTAACCAGTAAAGTCGTCTGGCCAGAGACAGCTACCTGTACACATCGCTATTACTCTCTTATATTATCAGTTCTGATTTTTTAAAATTTTAATGTTCAGTACAGTTCATTATAGTTGAGTGTATTTTTCTTCTAACATTATTAGTATTCACTGTGATTAGTGTAATATATTCACTTTTATCTACTTAAAGAAAGTGTCGTGAATCCAATTGAGTTCTAGAAGCTACGGGAGTGTAAACGTCTACTAATCCCTACAGCATTAGACAACACTGTTTACTGCGTTCATCAAAACAACTCTCTCCCGGTATTTATTTACATTTTAATTGTTATATTCTAATTAAATATGGTGCAGTGTAATATTTGCAATAATACTATTGCACGCGAAGATAAAAACAATCTTTGTTGTGTAAAATGCAAAATTATTTTTCACGGTCGGTGTCTCAATCTAAGTGAAAAAGAAATTGAAGCCTTAAAAGCACACAAAAAAACTTGGGTATGCCCTAATTGTGACCAGACCAAAAAATCTAACACTGAGCCGTCCGCCTCAGAAATACTGGCGGCAGTAAATCGCTTAGACTCGAGTGTCAATGAAGACATAAAAAACATAAAAACAACCCTCGATAAATATGGAGAGCTCAATTTTGAGCTTAATGAAAAATTATCGAAAATTGAGAAACACCTCGAAAGTCAAGCCAGTAATTTCGAAAAAATTATGCTGGAAAATAAAGCCCTCAAATCTCGAGTGGGAGAATTGGAGGTTCGCCTGAATAACGCAGAGCAGGGCTTGTTATCCAGATCACTGGAGATCCGAGGGATACCGGAGCGAACTGGTGAAACGCCCGCCGCTTTGGTGACCTGCATTGGAGCAAGTTTGGGCATCAGGCTCAGTACAGATGACTTGGACATAGTACATCGCCGCAGAAATAGAAAAGATGACCCACGACCGCCGCCTGTCATCGCGCGCTTTGTCAAACAGTCAGTCAGGGACGACTTAATAACGAAGAGGAAAGTCAAGAGAGACCTCACTACTCGGGATATCGGCTGGCAGGAGAATGACTGTCACCGGATATATCTGAGTGAGGAAATGACTCCCACGAACAGACACTTATATTGGCTCGCCCGACAGAAGAGAGCTGCGGGGAAAATCAAATATACGTGGTTTGCCGCCGGAAAGGTGCGATGTCGAAAGGAGGACGGGCATAAAGTTATTCTGATTGAACAGGCCTCGGACCTCGATATATTTGCCTGACCACGAAGAATTCGTCTACTCCTCATCCTCATTAAAATAACTTTGAACTCAATTATCTACAAAGGAACATTTTCACTTCTACGCATAGAGATATCTCTTCACACTTACACACTAATTTATATTTTATTGACCATATGTTTTTTATTTCTTTTGGTTCCTGCTTACACTTTCTTTTCTGCTATTTTCATTAATTGTAAACGCCTTTTTGTATTTTCTATTTGTTTTAGAGTTTCTCTACCAAACTCTGACTGTTTCCCTCCCAATTCCTCTCATGTCTAGTACCCTAATCACCTGTCATGTTAACTCTCAATCCCTCCCTGCCCACTATGACGAGTTCCTGCAATATTTCACTCAAAACTTTTATCATATTATCGCAATCTCGGAAACTTGGCTTAAACCTTACATCCCTTCCTCTTCTGTTTCCTTGCCTAATCACACCCTCCTCCGTCATGATCGGGTAAGCCGGAATGGCGGAGGAGTAGCCATGTTTGTCCATAATAGCCTGAAGACTCGAATCCTCGATTCCTCACCACCCTCCGATCATCCTCAGGTTGAATACCTTCTAGTAGAAATCCATTGTAAGGATCTTCCTCTCCTTTACACTGTGGTATATCGTCCTCCCCATGTTCCATTTGATCAGTCCTTCGAATCAACCCTATTCAACTTCGTTCCTCTATATCCCAGAATAATCATCTCCGGTGACCTCAATACCAATTTCCTCTCTAACTCCAATGACAAATCCTATCTAGAAAACCTAATTTTCTCTCTGCACCTCTTCATAGTCCCATTTTCCCCCACCCACCACACCAGCAGGTCAGACACTTGGTTAGACTTCTACATTATAGACTCTGTACAAAATCTCCTCTCCTCTTCTCAATTGCCAGTATCATTCTTATCATCTCACGATCTTATACAAATAACATATAATATCCAAACTCCTTCAATCCACCCTCGAACTATCACCTTCCGTCACCTAGATTCCCTTACTCGAGAAAAAATATTACCTGACCTAGAAACCCTAGACTGGAACGGAATATATTCTTGCTCTTCCATCGACTCCATGGTTGACATTCTTACCACCAATCTTCTCAATATTCTCAATACCCATGCTCCCCTCAAAACCTCTACCTTTCGTCACCGGCCTGCTCCTTGGATGTGTCAGGAAATCAAAGATCTGCAGAAGAGGCGCGACGCTGCCCGAAGACGTTTTAGACGTACGAGGCTTGCAGATGACTACCAAGCGTTCAGGGTGCTTCGCAACTTGGCACAGACAAGGATCCGGCGTGCGAAAACTTCCTACTTCCATGAAACCCTTTCCTCAGCTCCTGATATCAAATCGAAATGGCTACTGCTTCGTAAACTTTCCATTGGTAATCCTTCCAGATCCCCTACCGCAGCCTATCCTGTATCCTCCGATGATTTAAACTCTTATTTTATATCTGTCGCTAATACCTCTTCTCTACCTTCCTCTTCTGGCTTTGCTCCAGAGATATCCTTTAACGACAATAACTTTTATTTTTCCGACATTTCTCCCACAGACTTGTTAACCGCGTTAATGAAATCCCACACCAATTCCATAGGGCCAGACGGCATTCCTGTCAAATTAATAAAAATATGTCTACCTGAAATCCTCCCAGCTCTCCTTTTTATCTACAATTTCTCCCTTCAGAATTCAGTATTCCCTACCTCTTGGAAAAAAGCCATTGTCCTTCCTTTAAATAAAAAGCCTAATCCATCCTCACCCGAAGATTTCCGTCCAATTTCAATTCTTTCTAACCTCTCAAAGCCTCTTGAAAGACTGGTGCAATCCCAAGTCTCCAAGTTCCTCGAAAATTCCAACCAATTTGATCCTCTCCAATCTGGTTTCCGTCCCGGCTATTCCACACAATCTGCCTTAATTAAAATTACCAACGACATTCAATCTGCAATAGATGATAGAAAATTAACTGTCCTTATTCTTCTAGACTTCTCCAAAGCTTTCGATTCCATCAACCATTCCATCCTCTTCAACAAACTAAAATCATTATCTTTCTCCAATAGTTCCATCTCTTGGTTCCAATCTTTCCTCTCCCAACGCACCCAAGCAGTCTCCATACCCAACCAACCACTATCTGCTTTCCTTTCTTTATCCTCTGGAGTTGCCCAGGGTTCAAGCATATCTCCTCTCCTTTTCAGCTCCTACATTAACGACCTACCTAAATCAATTTTCCATTGTTCCCATCACCTTTATGCAGATGATTCCCAGATCTACCTATCCTTTTCTCCCTCTGAGTTACTGGGGGCATTTGCCAAGATTCAAGAAGATCTTGATCGAATCAATGCCTGGGCAAATGTAAATGGATTAAAGTTAAATGCTGCCAAAACTCAGGCCATCGTCATTGGTTCCAAGCCCCTCATTAGATCCCATACTGACTTTCCCATATTACACCTTAATGACCAGCCAATTTCCTTCTACTCCTCTGTTAAAAATTTAGGATTTTTCATAGATCAAACCCTCTCCTGGACCAACCATATTTCTCACATTTCCCGTCGGACAATTTCTACCCTTAAACTATTTCATCGCTTCCGCCATCTCCTACCTCAACATATCCGTAGACTCCTAATTTCCTCTCTCATCTTCCCCCACTTTGACTACAGCTGTGTGGTGTATGATGGCCTCTCGGTGGAGCTCCGTGATAGACTGAAAAGATTAATGAATAGCTGCATAAGATTTGTTATTGGTGCCCCGAGGTACTCCCATGTCTCTCACCACTACACTGAGTTAAGGTGGCTCTACCCCTCCTTCCGAAGACAATACTTTCTAGGTACGTTCCTCTACCAAATCATCAACAACCATCGTCCTTCTTACGCCTACAACCTTCTCCAGTTCAAAACCTCAGTCCATTCCCTGTCCACAAGATCTCGACCTTCTGACCTTTACATGCCTTCTCACAGATCTGCCTCATTCCAAAATTCCTTTATTGTTCGCTCTGTCAATTTCTGGAATTCCCTCCCTATCAAAATTCGACATTCCCCCTCCATATCCACATTCAAATCCCTCCTATTCCAATTCCTATCACAAAAACAGTCAGATACTTGCTAACCATTCGAGCGGATTTTAATAGAGAATTTGATATATTTTTATTTTTTAATTCTTTATTTTTTTCGGAAAAGTGTATACTGGTCTAAATAGCTTTAAGTTTCTTGTAATAGTATTAATGGTTTTGTATATAGTTTAGTTTGCTTTGTATATAGAGTTTTTACCTTATATTTTTTTTACATTATTTCTTTTTTTCGATTTATTTGGTTTTGGCCAGATGTAATATTTTAATTTTGTTCTAATTTGTTATTCTCAAGGGACTGTGTCCCAGAATAAAGTTATTTTTCTATTTTCTATTTTCTATTTTCTAAAGTTTAAATAATTGGACTTATTATTGTTAGTTCATTAGTTGTTAGTCCATTGTTCCTATTTTAATTAAAGTATCCTTAAACTATCTTAGATAACTAAGATAAATAAGAATGACTTAACATGTACGATGGGAATTGAATAAATGTGATAAAATAGAATTTTTTTGGACTTAAAAGAGGTATCACTGCTTAAGTGATGATAATTTTTCTTGCCTTTGTATATTTATTTATACTTATCCACTACATAAATAGCAAATAATTTTGTGAGAAGGGTAAATAGTCGACTGAACAATTATGAGGATGAAATTATAATTACTACTATTACTAAATTATCTAAATATAAATTTCCTAATGATTGGCAAGTAAGAGAATTTTTTTAAAACCTTTTTTTGGAACTCCGTTTTATTGGGAAAAAATGATCTCGTTCAAAGTGTACCCATTATACAGACACTCAGATTGTTTTTATAGAGGAATATTCTAGTTAATTTGGATAATTCAAAAGACATTCAGGATTTATAATTGATTAAATTTATCACTTGATTATATTAAGAATAGATCATTACCTGGCTGAAGAATTTTCACTAAGATTTTGAGTATCTGGGAAATACTCTACTGTATTCGACAAGACTGGGCAAAAAGTAACTAAATTATCTAACGAGTCTAATGTTAATTGAAAAGTGTCAATCTCTTGAAAAACAAACATCTCAGTTTGTAACGCTGAGCTTTCACAATAATTTTCTGCCCAAGATGTTTGAGATACTATAAATATAAAAACAAATATTAATTATTATATATAAAATTGAATAAGTCATCCCAATTAAAATGAAAAACATACTTCCAATCGATGTATCATAAAGTAAACTGCCAATGCCCTCAAGATATCTTTCATGACGAAGAAATATTATTTTGACACTATTATCACTATGAATACTGACAGATTTTGAGATAAGTTGTTTAATAATAATATCGTCACTTAAGCTTTCTCCAAATATTACCTGCAAATTATGTATCAAAATAGAAATATACATATCAAGTATAAGATTTTAAAAAATCAATAAATACATAAAATAAGTATAACATATGTTTAATTTAAGTAATGTTCGCAAAGTGTTCGAAATTTGACCATAATCATTACTGAACATTTGATGGAAACATAAATGAATTTATATGTTTCCAACATTTTTTTTCCTACTCTTATATATTCACACATTCACTTTTTTATGTACTTATAAAAGAAAACAGTACCGTTTTTGAATTATTGAAATTTTTTTTATTTTTTGATTGCTATGAAAATTCGTTTTTGAATGTTTTGTTTGAAGGAAATTTTGAATGAAGGAAAAATTTTGAGGATATTTCCGGGTGCAAAATACAAATCTCAATTTGATTTTTCCTTAAGAAAATATTTGAATAAACTTTGCTCTTTCATCCAGTACAAATAGTTTCAGTTCAACATTGTTCTACTTATCAAGGAGACTTTGGATAAGTCTCATTAAAATCGTTACAGTTCTTTTGGCACTATAATGTATAGCGAATCATATTTTTTAGCCACCATTACAAAATGAAAGGCTGGTTAGTAATAAAATGCATATAAAACACTCCTAAATTTGATTGCAATGTGGTATCAAAATTTCAAAGCATTCGATGAAGAACTTTCGGAGATTAGTGGATTTGAAAAAAACGAACATTTACATTTTTATTTATATACACTGTTTCCAAAATCTATTAAGTGATAACACTAAACTCTTCAATAGCTACTAAACAAAAAAAAATATCGGTTGAGAAACAGGAAAAAAAAAGGACTAACCGTTTTGCCTTTGGCTATTTATATAATGATTATAAAATATAAGTATAAAATATTTTATACTTATATTATAGATAGAGGATTTTGCAATCTGGGAGGCCTTAGACAGAAGAGAACTGGAATGGGGAAGGAGACGATGAATGGTCGAAGATAGAGATTCTTGGATCACGCTCAACTGAAGGATCCTCACACTGCTGTGTATTAGAAGAGGAGGAAATTAAATAAAATTATAGGTACATGATTTTTAAAAAGGGAAGAATATGGAAATGGCGAATCTAGGCTGTAAATGAGAAATTAAAAGCTAAAGCTAGCAAAGATATTTTCAAAGTATGATTGCAAAAACAAGGACTCACTTATGCCTTCATGGTTAATATTTAAACAATTTTGGGAATAGGTAATGAATAAACTAATTCATAAAATAATTAAGTCAAAATTTTGTTCATAAAAGGAAAAAAATATCTATCTTTTCAATGCAGCAGTGTAAAACTTAACATTAGAAAAACTACAATAAATCTCTAGTGGTAGCACAGGCTGTGGAAACTTACAAGACTATTAGTTTGGCGATTTGTAATACTGATATCGTGAATTCTTTATTATGAATAATCAGCTATATCCTAAATCTAATTCATCGTCAAGTAATAAAAAACATCAAAACATACAACGCAGTTCTTTATCCTAAGAAGTCAATATAATTACTGCATCTGCGACTACTTCATAGATACAGTTATATTAAACACTTTGAGAAAAAAAAGCTTAAATAAACAAATCATTACATCCTGCAGAAACACTTATTTTACCTTAAATATATATTTCATAATAAAAATAAAATAAATAAATGTATTGTTCATTACTTGATTGATTTTATGACGTTTAGCATGCAACGTGCACAAGTGTCCCATATTATCACAAAATATCTTAAATGGTTTGAAATCAGCAGACAATTTACTTTTTTCTGAAAGAAAATAATATACTTAGTTGCAATATAATAACTATAATAAGCTTTATAACAATATATTTACCATCATTCATTGAAGTATTCTGAAATTCTTCCTGAAATACATCGTAATCATTGTATTTTGAAAGGAATAATTTGGCCGATCCAATAGTTTCTTTTATACACTGTTGAAAAAAAGTAAAATAAATACAATAATAATTTTAATTATAATTTGGGGAAGAAGAGTAAATATTGGAATACAGGACATTCTCAAGACATTGCAAGTATGGAATACAATGGAAGACTATTTCAGGGACGAAATAAGGAAGAAGCAAGGGAGTAATTGCCCAAGGCAACAGAATTTAGTGGATAGCAAATTTAAAACTACTTTTTTTTAAAGTTATTTAAAAAATAATTGTTCTGGTTTTTTACTGAACTTGATTCAGTCAATAAAATGAGTTCCTGTTATGAGATGATGAGATTTATTTCAAAACTTAAATTACTGGTATAAAGAGTTACTGATTTTGATTAGGGAAAAGAGGAAGGGGAGAGGAATCAATGTTATGACCCTACTATCCTTATTCATATAATAATCAACTTAGGGTCATTACAACTAGGAACCTTTTTTATTTTTTTTTTCGGGCTGAAGCTCCCTAAAATATAAAAATAATATTTTTTCATTGGTCCATAACTATTTCTGTGCCCGCATGAATATATAATAAATAATAAATCACAATAAATGCTCATTTTAAATCTTTATTTGGCATATTTTTATTGTAAGCGATTGGAAAAGAATAAAATAAACAATGACTTAACTAGACAAGAACTTTATTGTTTGATTAAAATAATAACTGTTGACTGTTTCTTTATTTGTAGGTTACTTTAGAATATTTTGGATCGAAAAAAACATCTCTCAAGTCATGGTTTATGTCAGGTCACAATACTGACAATGGCAAGATATAATTTATTATAATTAAATAAAATATAAAAAAATAATTCTTCTTACATTTAACTGAAGTGATGAGTTCCCTTCCTTAGAAATATCGATAATATCAGACTCGCCAATGCATTCGTATGATTCTGTAGAATTAACCTGTAAAAAAGAACCATTTATTATATTTTATAATTTATTATTATTAATTAAGAAAAAAATGGCAAGAATATTATTTACCTTAATAAACATAATTTTATTGTTGAATATAACGAGTATATGAGGGTAGAAATTGTAAGTAGGTGACAAATATTCGATTGCCGAATCAATGTTTAAAATGTAAGCTTCATCTCTCACATTTAAAAGACAGAAATTACATGCTTCAACAGCCGTTTTGATTTGAATATGATCAGTTCTATATAAAATAAATCAAATAATAATAATTATAAATTGAGTAGCAAATAATTTCAAAATTTTAGAATCTTATTTCCTTACATAACATTTAAATCTTCATTTTTTAAAAATATATTTCTTTTATGTTCAATCTCATTTAATATTATTTTAATAGAAACGTGTTTTGCCACGGATTGTTTTATGAAGCTGAATACCGTTTCTAGCCTAGAAGAAGGAAAATATATTATCTGAATGCGCGTCTTCTCCTTTTCCTGAAAATAGAAAAATTTTAAGCTATAGAATAAAAAAAAATCTTGCATTGATTCCTATTAAAAAAAAAAAAAAAATAGTTAATAGAGAAAAAATGTATAAATGAAGAAGAAAAAAATCAAATTATTTTAACTAATTCATCTCTAATTTTTCTTGTCGAAGTCTCAGTAGATTCTTACATTTACTATATGTAAGTTTACATGGAAAATCTAAATAAATGTTGTTGTTAAATCACAATAAATAAGCAAATAACTGTTCAAAAATTATTGAATTACACAATAGAAAATTATCACTTTGATATGCCATAATTTTTTTTTTTTAATAATTTTATATTCATAAGGACAAAAATATTTTTTTTTAAAATGCATACCAATATTGGTGAGCCTTCATCAAGGACATCATTGTACTTTAGTGGGAAGACACAAGACACAGATGATGAAAACTGACCTATTATCAACAAATAGATTAATAATGCTAAATTATATTTGTTAAATCATATATTTGCAGAATATTATAATATCAATTATGTGATCAATAAAATATAATGCTTATACTATATATACTCTTGTAATTGATCAACATCTGATTTATTCCTCCCATACATATGGCAGTGGTAAAACCCTGAATCAATACATTAAAACTAAGAATTTTAGTAAATTTTTTTTATTACATATAAATCTTATTTTTTGATCAAATAAATTCTTCAATAATGTGGTTTTATTGATATTATAAAATAATTAGTTTATAGTAAAATATAAGCACATATATGTATTACCAACTGTTATGGTGACATGCACTGCTGTGTTTAAATTTTTCAGAGCTTCCATTGAAACCATTCTGCCACTAACAAAAATCCTGACAAGCCAAATAGTGTATATCAAAAAACACAATAGTAAGATAAGATAATATTAAATACCCCGCAGTGCTAAGTATACAATGATGAACTTTCTCCATTGCTAATTATTATAATTCTAATTATAAACAAAAATCTTTGTTAGTTTTATTTCAAATAGAACAGATCAGGTTAACAATATGCTCCACTAAGAAAAAAATTAATAATAGTGAACAAATAATAATTTTACCCCATCTAAATTAAACTAACCATTTCTAACAATTCAGTTAAATATAATAATAACGGTACACAAAAAGATTAAACGAAACATTGTAAAAGACATAAAATTTGTAAACAAATCTGAGCAGTCTATTAATACACTGCATAGAAATTGGCTGCACTATCTTGCCAGCTATTGAATTAATTAATTATTTCTTTATAAAGGCTGTCATTAAAGAAGCAAGTATAAATCCAGATAACAATTTAATAAATAATTTCAACAATTGAATTTGAAAAATTCATAAACCTACAGGTCTTGAAAAAAAAAAATATATTAAGTGTAAAATATTAATCGGAATATATATAATTAATAATAATTTTTTTAGCTTTTATATACTGTAATTTTCTATATGTATCTATACATATATTTTTTATAATGTTATTACAAAAATAAATTATTTGTATAAATAAAATAAAATTGGTATAAAACAAACAATAATGTATTTTATAAATTAATGCATATGCATGTACATTTATAATTGTGCAAAAATGAAAATTCATTTAAAAACTACATTGCCAAAAGATAAAAAAATAAAACCAATATTGAAATGCAGTGATCAGTAAAAGTTTTCATACATAGACTGATAGGAGATAAAACAATCAACAACTATTCTTTCCTACATATTTTATTTTTATTTTTTATTTAAACGCCTAATTATAACTTCAATACCACTCTTATCAATTTTCTCAAAAGTATTTGTCTAACAATAAATACATATATAGTTAAGAGAAATTAAAGTATAAAATAAGAATTTTAATACAGAAAAAAGTTGTTGTACATAGCTGTACTATAAAGTAATTGATTTATTTATTATACTTCAATTTTTTAAATTAATATTCTAAATGCAGTATTTTTTAGTACCATTTAGGCATTGATTGGATCAACTCTGTAGTCAATTGAGATGGTATTGTTAGTCGAATATTTTTGAGAAAATTAATAAGAGTGGTATTCAAGTTATGATTAGGTACTTAAATAAAAAAAATATATATATGAAAAAATTGTTGATTTTTTTACCTCCTATCAGTCCATGTATGAAAACTTTTACTTTTGTGGACCACTATATATGTTAGTAGCAGATCTTTTTGTTAAATATGTATATTTATAATTTTTATGAAAAAAAAGTTAGCACAAGAATGCTTGAGCCCAACATACTTCTGTTTTCGCTTGTTTTATCACAAACAAATACTTTTTTTAAAAAAAGCTGCATTCTTATTATATAAATTAAATGCCCATTAAAAGTTAAAATAAATAATAAATTGTTGAAACCTACTTTCATACCTATTGTGAATAGATAAAGTATTCCAGAGTCTGCAAATACTTCTATTGTCAAGTTACACAAAAATAATATTTAAACATACAAAACTAAATATGCATTACATATAAGTAACATATTGGTAAACAAATTGTGGATATAAGTATACAGAAGCCTTAAAAGAAATTATGTATACAGGTCTTTCACTGGGTTGTCGAAATATTGGGAGTTTATAATTCAGAATGTCAACTTGTAATCATATGCATAGATGAACGGTGTTATGTAGATACCATAATATTCAAATTAAAATCATTTGCAAAAACCAACACAAAGTTTATTTTGCATAAGTAAGCCAAACTGACCATCAACTATGCCACATATCATTTTTAAATTTCTCAGGTAAGTTTAGCAGAACTAATCTTATTCACTTGGTAGATTTTTGGTTACTATAATTTTGTTGAAGTAACTAATAAGTGAGTTTACTCAATTAAATTACCAGATGAATTTTTTTTTTACTTAAAACTAAATTCGTTTTCGGTAGAACATTATGACAAAGGTTAACAGGTACCGAAAAATTTCATTTCTGATTATATCAAATTAATGTTTTTGAGGGTAGGTAGGTTTTTTCATAACACTACTCAAATATAAATAGAAGCTCTTAACATTTGAACATATGATTAATAACCAATTTTGTCTAATAATAATAAATCGTCTGATAACAATACAAAATAATTTAATCAAATATATATTTTAAATATTAAAATTCTTCATATCAAAGTAATCATTGCATAATGTTTGATAAAATATAGCCCAATATTTTCTGGGAACAATATGTTTGAGTAATAATCTTAATAAGGTTTAAAATTTTAAATTATGTGTTTTTAAAGTATTATGAAAGGGCACTTGAATTTAAAAGAAATTATTTCTAGTAGATGTTTAAACTGGCCTCCAAGATTATGTCCTTGAAAACGAAGTTTTTATGTAACCGTTAGCATTGTGTAATATGTAATATTTACAATACAAAATCAACAATTATACCTACATTTCGAAATAAAATTCTCAGACTTTATGTACCAGCAAAAATAATCGAAGTACTCATTCCACTTTAAATTGTGGTTCTGAAAGAATAACGGTTAAATCAGTAACAATAATCGGTACTGGTCATTTTGGAACTTCAAATCACTTTAAAGTACAGTGTTGCCGCCAATGGACGGAAATTAAAAATTCTATAATTTGATAAGTGGTTAAATATACTATTGTGATTATAAACTTTGTACTTCATATAAATATAAAAAGTAAGATAGGTCAAATTCGTATGAAGTGTAACAGAGATAACCACGCCACATCTTGTGTAAAAGATTTTTGAAATTCGTTGACAATCCATTAGATTTTGTCTTTTTCTTGTAGTTGGGGATATCAATTAAAAAAAATTGTGTATTTTCAACAATCTATTATTTATAAATTTCGTATAAATATACGTACGAGAGTTATATTATAAAAGTCTGAAAAAAATTAATTTCCATTCGAAGTTTTTTCTCGTAATTAGATCTATAAATGCCGAGCTATTGAACTAAAAGTTTTTTTAAAATAGAAATTTCCAAAATACTCGCTTGCATATGAATTTAAACTTATCTCTAAAACAAAAAGTATGAAATTATTTATTCCGACTGAAAACTTGCAATTTTTATTTGAACTAGAAAAAGACATCACTAGTCTTTTGTCATCAGTTTAAACAAAACTAAAAGTAAAATATAGCTTATTTTTAATAATTAAGGCTTTGTAGTAAATATAAATTTTATAATCTGCCAAAGCAGGGATTTTCATGTCCAGCGGGGATTTTTGGCACAACTGAACGGGAAAATCTTCAACATGTCACCATGCGACTCTGTTATCAGTTGTTAACTGCAATCTGTTGGCGGAATCATGTCTGTTGGTAAAATTGTCCAATTTGAAAAACTAGGTATGCTAGAAATCTTTCTATTAGTTTGCTCCCACTCTCTTTGGGTAACATAGTTTTATTTAATATTTTAGAATTATTGGCACTCATGTTTTAAATTAATATACAATACTCTTTATTCACTCAATGGAGTAAATTCTAATTCATGTTTTCTCCCAAGAAGTTGCATGAATCATCAAAATAGATTTATAACATAAACTAATTAATAATCAAATTAATTAAGTAAATCTATTTTGTTTGTTAACTCTACTTTATCTAAATAAACAATGAAAAAAACACCTATTTGTTTTTTGGTCTATGCATGTCATAGATGAATTGTTATTTCTTAGTTGCTTTTCAAAATTCATAACATGTTTGTATGAATATATATAACTTATATTAAAGTTTATATTTTCTCTGCAAATCTTAGATTTTTCAATGATTCATTGTGATTATTAACTTCCTTATGTTTTACATGTATTTATCAACTACACAGTTAATTTGTTAATTTTTTAGGGACGTTACAGGGTCGGTCCTGACCCTATCATTAGCGTACACCCTTTTTCTGCAATATCAATTTATCTTAATTTTAATTGTATTAAAATTGTTTGTCATGAATATTGTTTACTTCATTTATGTAATTAACTGATTTTATTTAGTTTAATTTTCATTTACTTCAGATGCTTTATGTGCATTCATATTTTATACCCTAATCATTTTTAAACCATACATATCATTATAAGGAAATTTTTAAATAATTTTCTGTATAAGGATAATAAATTTAGTATACTCATATCACTATGAATTATTAATAAATCTCAACATATCTTATGATGGATTAAGAACCTAAGTGTGGGTTTTATATGATAATGTTTAAGATTGGTTTAATTGTATCTCAGGTAAATATACCAGTAATAGATATCGTACTAATAATAGACAGTTTTCAATTCATTAATAGATAATAAGATTTATCCATCCAAAAAAAGAGGGCAATTATGAATAGCTTTGTAGCTAGTGGAGCAAGGCTGGAGTTTGTTTCAAAGAGGTTTATTACTTTTTTTTCAGGAGATAAGTTTAAAATTTTGATTTATTCATCTGTACTTTGCCATTTCTTAGTTTGAAACTGTGCAGAATGTATTTTGAGCGTTTTAGATTATATAACACATTGGCCCCAAAACTTGAGTGTCTATTACTGTTTCAATATACGCTGATAGAATTTCTCAAGTTTTTCATGAATAATTAACTAATTGACTGTATGAAAAAAAAAATCGATGAAAGACTGAATATTCTATCAAATATCCGCCAACAAAACTAAAGCTGTGGTTCATATTAATGTTGAAAATTTCATTTAGAGCCTATTACCGGTACATTTACCTCATTGTTTTATAAATAAGCTATTGTTTCACTTAAATTTCACTGTGTTTTCTTCTCTATATTTCAGCCAAAAATATTCAGACACTCATTGAAGAAAGTATTTCAGTGAGAGAAATAGCTTATTGCCCATACAGTAAATTCAAAGTTGGAGCTGCAGTACTCACAAAAAATGGTAAATATTCTCCTAATTAATAGGTAATAATTCACGTAATTGTTTGTAGTACTTATTATTTTTAGAAACTTATTATAATTTGTTTTATCCGTACATATATTATTACAGCAAGGCTTGAAATCGGTTTTGTACCAAATATAAGCTCCTGTCATGCTCAAATACCATGAATGGGGTACTGTTGGGTTCAGAATTTCATGGGGGGTTAGTGAATCGTATTCTCCATTTTGTTTTTCTTTCTAAAATAAATAAAGTCGATACAAACAGTAGGTCTGTAGATCGATACGGGACAAATTGGATCTAGAAGATTTTGATGCGTACAGCAAGACCCGGATAGTTCCTCCGGAACTATCGGATCCTGCGTTTTTCAGCCCAAAAACGTACTATTTTCGAGATAACGCAAGGCATAGGGTTCGCATCCACACAACCTTACATTAATTGTATTACTGTCATTGAATACATGTCTCATTTCGTCGACTTGAGGTCTCTATGATCAAGAGAGGAGGAGTTTATATTATTTATCGATGGTGTTTTTGATCGGCAAGCCATATCATCGTCAATTTTTCACCAAATCTCAAGATTGAGCCACCAATTTCGAAGGCTTCCTTCTCCTTCAGGCGGGAAAAATATTCCAATCCCCCCGAAAATCCAGGCAAACAAGTTATAAAAGAAAACAAACTTTATTTGCGAATAACTAAAAAATTACACACTTTTCCCTTGGTCATGCACGTGATTATATAAAAGATTACTAAATTCCTTACAAAAGGAAAAAAAATCATTGAAATCGGACAAATTTTAATAAAGATACAGCTTACTGAAATTTGTAAACACATTGGTTCCAAACAAAAATGAAGATCTAAATTAATTTTTTTTTTTCTTTGTCGATTATATTTATCGATAAAGTAACATTTGATTTCTTTATCTTTTGATACCTTGCATTATTTTATTTTCTTATTAATTTGGCATTTGATAACAATATGCTGTGCGAATTTTTCGCACGGGCCTACTAGTTTATTTATTTATTTTTTTTTATATATATTTCATGTGGTGCATGAAAATCTATCGATCTAAATTATAGAATTAAATTTTGGTGCTATTATTTTTTAAAAATATATTTGGTGTGGTGCATGAAAATCTATCAATCTAGATTATATAATGAAAATTTTGAATCTATTATTTTTTAGGGAATATATTTCCTGGATGTAATGTAGAAAATGCATCTTATGGCATGACGATTTGTGCAGAAAGAACGGCTCTGGTAAAAGCTGTAAGTTCTAACGAACTTGAGTTTTTGGCCGTTGCAGTTAGTGGTGTGTTAGAGGGAGAAAATTTTCTGCCTCCCTGTGGTGCATGTAGGCAGTTTATTGCAGAATTTTCAAAATCAAATAACATCTTGATTTATTTAACATTGCCTGACAAAAATAAAATTTTAGAAACTAGTATTCAAGAACTACTACCTTTGTCATTTAATTTTTAATTTTTTTTTTACTTATTATTATTATTATTAATTATTATAATTGAATCAGTTCTTTCAAAAACAACACATGTGACATTTTTGCAATGTTGAAAACCATGCAAATATCTATTTTATACTAACATTTTCACTGACAAAAGCCTACAAAAATACATAATGGAAATAATCAAGCAATACATGTGTATCCTTGCGTTAAAAGATGTGTCAATGAACTGTTCACCCAGAAAAATTCTCAACTCAAAACTTAAATATATATAGTTTCTAATTATTTAAGTGAGAATTATTTTTATATTAACTGCATGTTAATTTTTAAAACTAAATTGTTTGTATTTTTATATTGTGCATTTATAATATTTGATATTAGTATTAATTTGAATGTAACTAATTGCATTTGGTATTCTAATATTACTAACTGAAAGACTAATTTATGTAAATAAACCTGTATCGTATATGTATGTTTTATTTATCTAAAATTTACTATTGTTGTTACAATAATGAAGAAGAGAATGGTTGGGGCAATTAGTCAGAAAAACAAATTATAAAAATAAATAAGTATATTAATTTTTGAAGAGAAGAATAGTTGGGGTGCTCAGTCAAAAAGGAAGGCAAAAAATAAATTATAATATTTATTTTTTACATATGCCGACGTTTCGACCTGAAGTTCAGGCCTTCATCAGGGCTAAGAAAATAACCAGATAACAAGGTATGAGAAACATAAGTGATGATGGTAAAAAAGATAATAAAAAATGAGAAAATAAAATAATAAAAAAAAAATATATATATATCTATCTATTTTATTTTTCTAATATTTTTTTTTTCTTATTTTATTTTCTCATTTTTTATTATCTTTTTTACCATCATTACTTATGTTTCTCATACCTTGTTATCTGGTTATTTTCTTAGCCCTGATGAAGGCCTGAACTTCAGGTCGAAACGTCGACATATGTAAAAAATAAATATTACAATTTATTTTTTGCTTTCCTTTTTGACTGAGCAGCCCAACTATTCTTCTCTTCATTATCCACGACAGTCAACCAATTACCAATTATATATTAATTTTTATTTCTGCTGACGTTTCGGCCCAAAGTTCAAGCCTTCATTAGGGCTGGTCAAACGAAAGGCAAAAACTTGGTCTTGGTCTCAAGATCTAGGACCTTGGTCTTGCAGAATCCTTTCGTTTGACCAGCCCTGATGAAGGCCTGAACTTTAGGCCGAAATGTTAAAAATGAATATACTTATTTACTGTTATAATTTGTTTTTTTGATTAATCATTCCAACCATTCTTCTCTTCAATTATTCTCTCCAGTCAACCATCACTCCACAATAATATTATTGCCATTCCAACTCACTTGCCGATTCCTTATTAAAATAACATATTTACAAAAATTATTGATTCAGCCTTTGTATCACAACTAAACTAAACTTTAAGGGTTCATACTTTATGCTAGAACTAAAAAGTAAAATTTTAATTAAATGTATTAACTTAATTAACCTAATAACAGTTGCATTACAATGGCATAATAGGCAACCACTGATCAGTATTCAGAAGAAGAAAGAACACATCAGATCAGTTCTTTATCCTAAAACAGTTGCAAGAAAAACAATGAGAAATAGTTCAAGATGTGCATGCTTTATTTGGCAATTTCAAAGGAGCATATGATTACATGGACAGCAACTCCTTTGGAAAGAATATGGTTGAGTTGAGAATCACTTAGAAAGTGGTAAGTTGTTCAATGGCTTGTATAAACATTCCTAATTGCCAAATCCTGATACAAGAAGAACTATCTCCTGTCTTCAATGTTCGTACAGAATCGAGATAGAGAAATGGACTCCCAAGGATTCAGTTCAACTTAACTCTGGAAAAGGTGTTAAGATCTACATAACATGATTATGATGGAGTGCAAGTTGGAATTAAATATAAAATCCAAAGAGATGTAGATGATGTAGCTTTATTCATAAATGGTCAAAAAGACATCGAGAGCCTGACTAATACACTGAATTCAATTTAAATTTCTGTTAGCATCAATAATTTCTTGTAGAGCCTACGAAAGTTTTCATCGAAGAAATATTTTTATGTCTCATTTCATCATGGAATAATTTTTTTTTAATGTATCAAGCATTCTTAAGAAATGGTGATCAGTTGGAAACAATTCAGATGAGAACTTCAATTGTAAAATAATACAATTCTCAAAAGTCATGTGACAAACAAGTTATGTTGAGTGATCTGAAAATTTAAGTTCTACCATATTCACTTGATTTGTGTCCAATTATCATTTTATTCTGGAAGCATTTTAAAAACAAAATATTCTATAATTGAAACAGAGATAGAATTATGGAAAACGCGTTATCTTTATTTTATTTTTTGTTCAAATAATATGAATTTCCTATTCACAGACTAACTTCAATCAATGATATTGCATTCCAGTATCAAAATATTTCAACTATTAGATCAAAGTATTGAGTGTGTATTAAACTGGCTATAAGCTCACCTGTTCAAACAGTGCTGCTGTATTGGCTGTAGTCCTCTCTGGGAGTGTGAAAGAGGTGAACAGAATGCTGAACGCATACTCTAAACATGCAGACTCTTTGATCCCTCTCCAAATGAAGTTCAAAGGTAGCCTGACAGTCTTCAAGAAGTTTGCTGAATTTCTCATTTTAGTCCATCTAAGAAAAGTATAAAGAAGAGTAAGAAGGTTGCTCACTTAAATTTTGTGAATTTAAATCCAAATTTTGATTTTATTAACAAAAAACTACACAGGTAAGCAGTGCAGATATTTTTTTATGATGATACTCTTGTTTTTCTCCTTTAATGAAGTTCGAAATATACATAGTTATTGCGCTTCATATCTGCGTTATCATAACAGTTACTCTAACTTTTTTCTTTCTGATTCTTCATTCACACTTTCTAGGGAACTTTTTCAAAAACTGATGATAAAGAAGTCCCCTGGAAGTTGTGAAGAAAATATCAGGAATAAGATTTATTATTTTTATTTTATTATTTATTTATATGATATTTACAACAGTATACAAAAAATACATCTGGTAAATTCGCATATTGGTATAAAGACATGGAACACATGTTGAGAAACTACCCATTGGTAGCACTCTAATAATATGTCTATATTAGAAGATCACGTGGCCATCTTCTTTTCAGACGCCTCGGAGGGTTATCAGGAATCGAATAGGAAGCAAGGTTAGAGATAAGAGGGTTGGGATGGTTATGAAGTTTATTATGGAAGGACAGATATCTGGATTGGGCCAAATCTGATATATAAGGAACATTAAGGTCATTATGGATAATTTTATTTGTAACAAAGTAAGGAGCATTGAGGATTTTACGAAGGATTTTGGATTGTAAGGATTTTATGCGAGAGGGATTTGAAGGTTTGGTGGAGCCCCATAGCTCAAGAGGAATAAGATAAAATAATAACCTCTCTTAAAAAAAAAAAAATCCAGAATAACTAGTTTCTCAAATAATCTTTCCAAGCGCTGGTTCGAAGCAGTTAAAAGTACTTTGGCACTGCTTGGCAGTCTAGGTATGATATGATATTTGTATTGCTCCTTTCTGATCGCTCTTGAAACAGTGAAACTGTTGGCAGTTATAGGTTATGTTATCATATCTGACAATTTTTTTAGTGCTAACCTTTCATTTCCTTTTTTTTATTTAAGTCAGGCAAAATTAAATGAAAAATTTAAACAAAGTTACAGTAAATCATATTTTTAAGGTTGAAGTAACAATATTATTTATTACATCAAAAGTATTTTATGGAGAAATTATAATATACCTAATTCAAAATGAAATTAAATAATTAAAAATATTAACCTCAGGTTAATACTCAAACGAGTGAAAAATCATTTTGGAATTTTTTATCAAAGTGCTAATTTACTGATTACTTCATTTTAAAGTGTATATTACCTTGTATATTGATTTTATTACAAATATAACTGAAATGATCAAACTAATAATAAGTAATAAATTAATTCTTTAAACAATTAATTTGTCTTCTTTTTATAATGAGTTTAATATGTAGATAATTATTAACATTTTATAGTGCAGATATAACCTAACCTTGTTATTAAACTTTAACTACCAGAAAAAATGGAGTGTATTAATCAAGTAAGATTGAAACTCTGCGATCGTATGTATTGCTTTCCTTCTGATACCAATAAAAAACATTTAGGCTAACATTTTGTTTAAAATTATTTCCTACTTAGTTGCTAAATTAAGAGGATTTGGTTGCTGCTGTGAACAGTATCATCGAAATAGTACCTTAAATTGGCTCCGTATTTCCTTCTTTCTTATTGGGGGATGAATCATTAATTAAATTTAGATTCCTTGTTAAATAGTCAACATTAATATAGAACTAGCAAGAGGCAAAGGGATCAAAGGAAAAGCAAAAAAATTTAGTGGGCAGCCAATTTTGAGAAAAAAATTGTTTACTTTGAGTAAAAATGTTTCTTTTTAACTTTTGATTGTTCTGACATAAATTCAGTTAATGATTCGAATTAATACAATGATATTTATTATGAAATATTGTAGGAAAAGTAGGTGTACCTTGGGTCAATTGTTTCCAATGCCCCATAACTTCTAAAATAACAATGATTTTTAAAAGTTCATAATAGAATTTTATTTGTCATTCTTTGAAGATGCGATGTTAATTTTTAAATTATTTTATCACCAGATTTTAGCTGATATTGAAAAAGCCAGATTGAAAAAAAAAAAACATTTATAAATACAATAAACTCTGTATTATACATTGGGCTATGAAATGTATTCTGGGTAATATTTGTTGTAATAGGAATTATTATTATTCAATAATAAGTACCACTTATCTACACTGGTAAACTAACTTTTTCATGTGATTTGTTGAAAGCCCACAATATGTTAGACTGGCTGTCAGTAAATAATCTGTTATAAACTTCTTCAGTAAAAACCATGAATCAAAGATTTATTCTCACAAGAGACATATTTTGAAATTATATTAATGTACCTTGGGTCGGCCCAAAGTACAATGATGACTTTTTTTTTTAATCAATTTTTTAGTGAATTCCTAAAGTATTTGACTTGAATTTACCTTCAAAAGAAGCTAGAGAGATTACTATACATCAATCGATTAATAATTTTGAGTATTCTTGATTAAAAATTATTACATCAAATAAAGAAAACTTACTTTTATTATACAAAAACACACTTATCGATATTACCGAAAACAGAGGGGATTAGAGGCACCAAAATCAGCTACAAAGTGTTCTGGCAGTGCAGCCTACTCAATTTTGCCACAAATTCTGAATTTCTCCCAATGGAATTTCTTATTCTTAGGATGGTCCTAGTTATATGTATTTCCCTTACTTAATATTCTGATGTAAAATATTGTCTTTTATCAGGGAGGGTGAAAGAAGGGGTGGTATAATTACGTTTACACAACATGACAGAAATCCTAATTCAGGCCATATCCATGGCCAACCTTATCGGGCTAAAAAATGTATGACGCTGTTTTCCTTGAAATAATCTTAAATTTGATTGGTTTTAATTTTAATTTTTTTTTACTTTTAAATATTAATGTATGACTTTTTATAATGTCTGTTTCCCTTTAAGTATTGAATAATGAAATTAATTATTATTGCCGAGGTATCCATGGCATTTGCTTGTGGCATATAATCTTTAATTTTAATATTGAAGGTCAAAATTGTCAATTTGGTGAATATGCATTCATATTTATTAATATCGAAACTAAAATCACTCAAATTTATCATAAGATTATGTATGGACAAAATTTTATTTGGTTTAAAAATCGAACAATAAAAATGACTAAAAACTCACTGTAATTCAATCGTATCATATCAAAAATATCATATATATTTTTAAGGAAATTTGTGCCAAGAAATATTATTAGTCCGATAGGGGTGTCACAATTTTTTTTTATCCTAATATCGACGCAAAAATATTTTTTAATTCCTATAAAGGTACTATTTCACTGATACTGCCCACCATGTCGACTGCTTTAGTGGAAAAGAAAAGGTCTGATTATACTGGTATTTATAGGCTCCTTTCTATACCTCTAAAGCAGTACTTAACTGCTAGCAATCGGCACGGTGGGCACTACCAGTGAAATAGTACCTTAAGGATACTGTGGAAAAAAAAAAAAGATTGAGGAATTTATGATTTTATTTTTAAGAAAAACTGCATAATCATAAATATTTCCCCATACAATTCCAAATTTTGATTTTATCATGAATACTCTTCATGAAACAAACAAAAATGAAAAAAACCTAATTTAATAATTAACTTAATGAATCAAAGTTTTGACACTTAGTCCATTTGTAGTGTTTGATAATTTTTCAACATATTTGATTGATCATTCCTTAACTGATCTTGGTGTCCTTGGAACTCATTTCTCTCTTCTATCAGACATTCAAATATCATTGCCACTTTTATCAAGTAAAAACTCCTGTTGATCTAGTTCTTTGTATTTAAATTTATATTTATTATTATAATGTTTAGTTATATAAAAAATATCTCTTCTATAATAATAATGAAGAAAAAAAAAGTGTACCATTACAATCCTTGGAGGACCTTCTGTGCTTATAGTGTTCAGTATTTTGTGAGGAATTTCTATTTCAAGGCCAACGGTTGTGCAGGGAGGTGATTGGGTCGAGATCATACTCAACCACCAGTTTTTTCTCTTAAACAATTATTTAATTAAGAGTACCCACTTGACAGAGACTGGGTTTGCCCCAAGAGGGTCTCCTCACTCAAAGTTGATCCACTTCTGATTTAATAGAATAATTACCTGCCTCAGCCGGACTTAAGCATAGAAAGTCAACACCTAATCTATTTGACAATCTGTTCTTATAATTGTTAATTGATATATTTATACATATTTAATAGATCAGGAATTAGCCATTACATGAAATCTAAGGCTCCCTACTCTCTCCAAATGCTCATGCTCTTGCTTTTTGCTTTATGTACAAACTTCATAACCATCTATTAAATGTGAATAATGAAACACCTCTATGTTATATGAATCATCTAAGTAGTTTTAACTATTTTTTTATCTTTTAAGCTCTACAACCTAAAATTGTTGTTTATACTATTATTTTAAGAAAAATAGTTGTCTCAAATTACACATAAAAGCGATCAATAATATTTCAAATTCTAAAACTGCTTTATATATTTTAGGAACTGTATTCACCGGCTGCAATGTTGAAAATGCTGCCTATGGAGTAAGTATCTGTGCTGAAAGAACTGCTTTGGTTAAAGCAGTAAGCAGCAATGAAAGAGAATTTTCTGTGATTGCGGTCAGTGCAGAATTGGAAGGGGGGAATATCGCATCACCTTGTGGGGAATGCAGACAGTTCATTTCTGAATTTGCAAAAAATGGAGACATTGAGCTCTATTTTACTATTCCGAATAAAGGAAAAATCCTGCAAACGTCGATCTACGAAATACTCCCATTGAGTTTTAGATTTTAAATAAAATAATTAAATGTATATTGTGATTGAATACTTTTATTCCTATGACCTCTGTTTTTCTGAACTATTAATTAAAATTTTTACAACTATCAA